CAATTATATTATCCTAACTTTAGTCTGAGGTATTATTTATTACTAAAAGTTAAAATCTAGTATTTTCACCCAATCATTTCTCTGGTAGGGAGGGAAGGTGGGGGGGAGGGTTGGGACCTACCGACCCAGCTGGCGTGAGTGTGAGGAGGGGGGGGTGAGGAGGCAAGGTGGGGTACTTTGACTGACAGATAGTGTCATGAAGAATATTTTGACAGATAGTGTCGTGAAGAATATTTTTTTTATATTAACTGAAGATATTTGTTTTAGCTCATAAAATTCATACAAATTACTCGACCAGAATATAATTTACATTGCTGGAATTCTTACAGTATGATGATCATTTTGAATATAAACATCAAGGATTTTGCATTAGACATACAAATTTTAGATCTAATGTAATAATTTGGTTTACACAAAGCAAATATTTTATCTTTTGTGCAAAATATATGAAGTTTACATTCAAAATATTCCCTGACCTGCAAGGAATCCAGAAATGTCAATTATATTATCATAACTTTAGTCTGAGGTATTATTTATTACTAAACGTTAAAATCTAGTGTTTTCACCCAAACATTTCTCAGAGAGGTAGGAGCTAGTGAGCTGGGAAGAGAGGGGGGGGGGGATTTGAGTCCATTATTTGAATGTACATTAACTTGGCAACTGTATTTCTCTTAAATATTAATTGTGTGAGCATACCATCATAAAATTTAGATGTTATTTTTACTACAACTTAGGTATTGTGTCGGAAAAAGTGGAGTTGGGGGTCGGGCCAGTCTCTATTGGAATTAATCCCATATGTTCTGTTGTTCACTTTATGCGGTTTTCACTTTCCGCGGTACCCTGTGGGTTCAATTGACCGCGGGGTACTACTGTATGTATATGTGTGTGTATATGTGTGTGTATATATATATATATATATATATATATATATATATATATATATATATATATATATATATATATATATATATATATATATATATACTAAAATAAACAGATGTGCCTATAGGTTGTATCATTGTTATTCCTCATGCACCAAGATCAACATTGACATTATTCTGGTAGGTGAGTCTCATAAGTAAGGAAAATGCTTCACTCATCTTCTGTTAAATGCCAAGAAACATTAGCATATTACTGAAAAATTTATTATGATGAATTGATTTCATAAATGGGAAAAAGACCGAGACTATAAACTGAAAATATCATAAGGCGGACGTGACCATAAACTGTTTTACTGTCCGTGCTAATACAATATTAATATTACTTTTGGGTTAGGTAGGATATAAATGTTGGTGGATTGGCCAGCAGAAAAATACCAAAATCATAATGTGGCCCATGACTGAGGAAAGGTTGCCCATGCCTGATTTATAGGATTGTCAACTACCAGTCCCAGGTCCTTCTTCCCACTTGTATTTAACTTGAATCTATTACTTACTGCACATGATATATTCAAAAGGTTTTTCTCCTGTCTTGCCAGTAATCATCATCTTCTATTTATTTGGATGACACTGGTGTACTGTAAACATGTGTCCAGCCATTTATGGAGATTGTCAACACCAATTTGTAGTTATTTCTGGTTTTCAATTAACCAAATTCATTAGGACAATGATGTATCATCATCATAAAAGTAAACTTCAGAGTACACACAATCAAACGACCCACCAATATATACTACTATACAGAATACCCCCAACACTGCAACCCATTCAGACCAGATCCCATCTGCAATGACTCTCTGCTTTTTATCATTCAAGAAGAATAAAATCTACTCATCTGTTTCCCCACTAATATCTTACCTGCTGAGTTACAAAGCAAATACCTTTATGTAAGTCACAATTAATGTCCACACCCAACCCATCTACAACTGTCAGCAGTTGAGCCCAGTGGGTTTACCACCCGTGGAGTCATACAGTACAACTGGACTTATTTTCCATGATGACTGTTTTAAAGTAAATAGGGTCAACTTGAAATCCCATTCAGTTTGGTTATTAGAACACATTTTTTTTTTATAACTTAAGAACAATAAAATATTTTAGTGATGTACCATGAACTAATAACATCATTTGGAATGAAACAATAAAAGAAAGGATGGATTGTACACTCGCAACAAAAAGTATCGGTGCATACTGTAATGCGAACAATTTGAAACCAGTGACGATAGGTATTGGGAAAGGCGAGTTGTTCCAGCCGTATGTTGGCAGCCCTGATTGTCAGCCATATGGCAACACCTAGTGGAGGGGTTATGAGGATACACTTACCAACCTTCCCGACATATCACAGTGTATACGTATCGTTTCGGAACTCGTTGATCTCACCCTGCACCGATACTTTATGGTGCGAGTGTACATAGCCTTTGTAGGTTGGTATGAGTGCTCATGCTGAGGCATTTAGTAATAATATATGAGTGTGTAACTTCCCTCAACAAAATTATCTCTGTTTAAACACACAAGGGAGTACAAACACAGGTGCAACATCCTGCTCCCAGCCTCTCACACAATCCCCGCATCATATAAAGTTTGTACAGGTATTGTCCTTTACAGCATGGACACAAGCCAGTCTCCCTCGTCACATTAACCACTGAATAAAATCATCTGCCATGAGCCAAATAAAATATTAAAAGTGAAGTCCCCATAGCAAAGGGGTTAAGGGTCACACTCTGAGCAATCCTCTTTCCTTTGGAAGAATGCTCAGTTATCATTGGGCAAGATATTTTCAGAATTTTGGTACTTTTTATAACCAATCCAAGGTCCAGGAATAAGTTGGAAAGGTTCCTTGGAATGATCAAAACTCATTAATAGGAAAAACAATTTGAAAAGTCTTTTTAACTGCATTAGTTCACAATGTAAAATAATCACTTAAAGACTACATTGCATTATTTTGTCTTATTTTAGAATGTTATCACTGCTGGATAATGTAAATATAAGCAAAAGACCAAAACTTAACCCTTGACCCACTACCACCTTGATGGGGACTATTTTCAAATGTCTCCTTAACACTCTTGGGTTTGGGTAGGTGCTCTCCTGTCTCCCGCTAGGGGTCTGGCGTGTTACTCACCTCTGACTGCACCACACGAGAGATAATTGCACGTAATGAGTTGTAGCAACTGTGTTATTTGACATAAAAAGGTGGGATTCATTGCAATAGCATTGTAAATAAATTATCTACAAACAGCTTTATATAAGTAATCATGATAAAGTAATTATTTCTATACTCAAGCACGAGTAGAACAGAATATTTTTGTTTCCGCTTAATGAAACTGTTTATACATCACTTTAACCTTCACTGTTTCATGTGATTGCAATATGAACCTTATTCCATTATAAGGCATACATATTTAGTAATAGTTATAGAAGAAAAGTTGTGAAAAAATTTAAATTTCGCTACGGAGAGGCATCAGGAGGCACCACACTATCACCACGTGGTGCAATCTCCTTGTACTATTTAACAATTTCCCACCCCTCCACCTTTGCCTGCAACATGAGGCATGGTTCAAAACTATCACAACACTGTTATGAATAAATGAAATCACGGTGATACATGAGAAATCAGCACAAACCACAAGAAAATGTGTGGGAAATGTAGGTTGTTATATCCTGGGTCCTTTAATGGGAGACTGGTGTGCTGAAGTTTTAAATTTTTTACTTCATATAAAAATTGCAAATGAAAACCCTAAAGTGATAATTTAGATCATCCGCAATTTTGCTAATGAAAACCCCAAGAGTGTTAATGGACAGAGAAAACCAAGATCTATCTGTGGGTCTGATGCCAATCACCATGAAGGAAAAGCAACACAGTTAATTCTAAAATTTAAATAATAAAACATTTTACTTTATAAGTGCAAGTTCCCAAATTGGAAATATGGTTAGCCACGGGTGTGTCCTGAGTGACACAATACAGAGCCACTTCTCATGCAAGTAGACATGATATTCAGCAACGTTACCACATATGAGGAGAGAATGTACCAGGATAAAACTGCACTCAATTGTATGGTAAGGCAACAAGCTTACTGCTGTACCCACCAATTTTCCAAAGTAAGGAAATGTTTGTATATTTTGTACAGCCACACTTTGTTTATACAGGAAAACGCATACATTAAAGTAATTGTTTCCGAACCTTCTCGTGCATATTATCACTGGCGGCCCAACACATTACTGCCTCTTTAAGCTCTGGTCATTTGCCATCAGTAACTCTTCCTCATTTCTACCATAATATCAAAATAAAGATTTCTGCAAATTTTAGTTTAGCAATATTTAGCAGGGTCTACAAATGTTTACTGAAGAGAAAGTAACAAACAAAAGTTGATGTTCAATATCAGAATCCTTGTCATGTACAATAAAACTGATCCTGTAAAAATGACTCATACAATTGGTAAATGAAGTTTATATCTACTGAGTCTTAGTCACCTCTTCCTTGGGTGTTTGTTATATCTACTGAGTCTTAGTCACCTCTTCCTTGGGTGTTTGTTATATCTACTGAGTCTTAGTCACCTCTTCCTTGGGTGTTTGTTATATCTACTGAGTCTTATTATTCACCTCTTCCTTGGGTGTTTGTTATGATATTGTATAAAACTTACACAACACATCTGTTTCACTGTTAACCCCTTTACTTTTAATATTCTTTGGGCTGATGCCGGATGATTTTATTCAGCTAAGAGGCAACACTGCACACAAAGGGTTTAAAACACAATTTACAGAGTACTCACCAGCAATAAACTAAATACTACTGGCCCCCTACAAATCTCATGACACTAAAATAAAAATGATTAATCTCTTTTCTGATCTATAGCAGAAATTATAACTACTATACCAGCCATGAAAACTAGTAATTACATCAAAGGAGGCAAACTTATGAGTTGCTTACCGTACGCCTTTTATCTTTCACATATACGTACACTGTACAAGCATACAGTATATTGTATGTATGTTCTGTATTTTATATCTAATAGCTTAAATTATGTCTACTGCAGCAAGGAACATGCATTAGAAGAGGTGTTTGCTTACCAATGCTCCTGGTTGGCTGATACTGGGCTGGCTGGTTGGAGGCCTGGATAAGTTTGGCCATGGAGCCAGTGGAGCCCGTAGAGAGCGTCGAGGTGGTGGACAGCGAGAGGTGGTTGGGGGTCCGGCCAAGGGTCGCCTTTTTCTTGTCTATGACCTCCTCCTCACCCTCCGATCGCGTTCCCAATTCGTCCTTTCCGCCATCGCTCTTGGTGGTGGAGTCACTGAGTTCGTCTGGTGGTGGGAGAGGACGCGGAGTGAGCTGTAGACCGCAGGTGAGCTCCTTCAGGATAACACTGTTCTTCTTGAATATTTTTTTTTTTTTTTCACACACAGTATGTTACAACGGCCTTGGGCTCACTGAGTCACGGGTCATAATGTCATATTCCCTCCCTGATCCCCACCCTCACTGCTGCCGCCTGGGAGAGGCTGGCGGGCGGGACTCACCCATGCCGTCCGACACGGTCTTGCTACGTGTACGGAAGTTGTTCTGGTCATGCCCAAGCTGCGTCTCAGGCACATTGTCGTAGCTCTCCAGGTTGTCATAGTCTATGTTACCTGCCGAATGTCGTTGCAGGGTGGCCGACTGAACTCTGCGGGAGAAAGGGCCACTCAGGGCACAGTTCATTGACCCTTCGGCGAGGGAAGCCACTCTACCATGACTAACTGTGGCTATAGTAATCTCAGTGGTGGCCCATGCTCACTAATAAAATCTTGAGGACTATCGTTCATTGCCTTCGACAAATGCATAATGTAAACATAATTCACAGATTATGACGGCTTAAAATAATTAATGCCCAGGAAGACATTGACGTCATTTATACTATAATGAAAATGTAATCTTGTGCATGTATTGAAATTGTGGTGAATATTAAGGGAGGGGATAAGATTTGAAATATTCCTGTTATGGTAAATTATAACACTCAAGAATGAACAGTATACTGCTTGTCATATGGAACTAATCAATAAAAATATTAAATAAATCATTAAAATTATTAGGTTATTGAAATAAACTTCCTGTTCATTAAGTATCCAGTATAGGGGATAAATAGTGATAACAGTGCCAATAGGTAATTTGGGCTCTAATTATTATATGAAAGAATATGACCTATAACCATTTTGATATCAAAAGATAAAGCAAAAGGTTACCATATTTGCTACCACAGTTTGTGTGAATTATTTACATTTAATTAACGTAAATTTCCTTACTTTAAGATGTCATCAGACTAAGGCCAACAAGTCAGTGTTTGGCAAAGGTGCCTACATGATTTTTTTGTTACAACTACAATACTGACTGTGCTGCAACAGCTAGAGTCAGAGAGAAAAGTGTTACAAATAAAGATTATTAAAACTTATTATTGTTCTGGGAAATCAAGTGAACTGAAGGCAAAATACTATGTAGCAAATAACTTATTCTAAAGAAAGACCATACAAGTTGGCAAGAGCTAGTACAGAACAGTACAGTACTGTAAAGTACAAGAGACTCATAAGATGACAAAACAAAGTTTTCAGACTGACATCGGTGACTTTTTCTTAGGTGCTGAGCGGGAGGGTTGTAGGGTGTTGGTGTTCCCCTTGCTGGAGAGACTTGAAGACGACGACGACGGCTTGTTGGCAGGGATGTTCATGTTTCGTACGGACTCACGTATGATCTGTCGGATGGTTTTCAGGAATGCGTTGCGGAACTCAGAGGTGCTGAGGAGAAAGATATAAAACAAAATACTGTAATGTTAAAGACCAAATCAATTACCAGTGTTCTAATAAAAAGAATTAGTGCAGTTTCCTGAGACAGCCATTACATCAAGGCAATTGAATTATAAGGTGACTTATAATCTATAAAAATCTTTTAAGTTAGTCTCAAGAGATTTTTCCAAGTGGGGCTGTTTATGAAAAACGAAATCTCTTCTAAATACCAGTACAGTACATCAGCCATAGCCACACTGACAAGTGTCGGCAACAACTGATGAAGAACACTACACGTAGGTCTGGCTATCACATACTGTATATTATGCATTTGTTATTTACAGCCATAAATAAAGACAAAGAAACCCACAAAAAATACTGTACTACTGAGGTTTGTCCTGATTTATGATATTATGCATTTCTTCCTAAAATGACTACAGGTAATACTGTTCATACAGTGTTCAGTTTCTTCCTCTAAACCTAAGTAAGTTTCAAAAGGTCATGTATGTTATTTATAAGTAATGCTGTTTTTCTCTCCTCTAAATCAAGATATGTTTCAAGAGGTCATGTAATTTAGTTATATGATCCAATGGAGAAAAAGTATAACTGTAAATATTTTTGTTTATGAAGAAGACTGATTTAATGCAGTAATATTGTATGTACAGTACCTAATATTACTGAATATGGGATTACCAAACATAACTGTGTACTGTATCTACTTTCTGTAGATATAATAATAAAAATAATTTCAAATAAATTCTTAACACTCTCATGGTCTTGGACACAACTGACGTGTCTGAAAACTTTTTCTACGCTCACGGTCTTGGACTCGCTGGTTACAACCTCAAAATACAAATAATTGTAAGGAATTAGAAAACTGTGCACTACGGACGCAATACCCCTGGCACCTTCTTGGACTTTGCCCATAGGTGAGGTAATTTTATCCAAATTCGTCTAGTATGAGACCTTGAATGAAGAGTTATGAAGGCACAGACATTTAAATCCTATCACACTTTCTTCCCCTATATAAGAAGGGTGTGTATATGTGTGTGAGAATATTGTTGACTGCATACTGTGGATAATTCTTGGGAATATTTGGTGATATTTCCTTTGGTTTAGTGAATATTGTAATTCACATTATAAATAGATCCAGTTATCACGACTTTTTAGCCTCAAGTGTTGAAGAGTAACAAAGAACTGAGTCTGCATTAGCTAAGAGTGATAGTAATAGTGATAGGGGACTAGATACCTCTGAGTGAGGGTTGTTTGTATTAGTGGTGATCCTACATTTAGAAATCTCAAGACAATTCAGAGCAGTAATATTTATTTTAATATTTGAATGATTAATAATTTTGTCATTACTTTTACTCGGTGTTTGAGTACTTTAGAATGAATGCTTTTGCTTCTATTTAGTTACTAGACTTTGGATGCTTTTACTTCTACTTGTTTATTTTCCAATGTAACAATACAGTCTTTTAGTCATAAGTAAGATTGATCAGTACTTTTACCTTTCGGTTCATTTAGAAAATGGTGTTATATATAATTAAAATTTAAGTTTTGAAAATAAAATGGTAGATTGTTAGACTCACAAAACATGCATTTCTTTAATTTACTCATATCAGTCATTTCATGATTTTTTGCATGTACAGTATAATGCTGTATTAACTTGTTGCTGAAGTAACACAAATGCAAATATACAATCTGAAAAAATTACTTTGAAGAAAAATAATTGGTGGGCCGTCTGTGGAGACCAGTTCTGGGTAATTAAGGGACTACAGGACTGAGGAGGTTCTGGGTAGTGGGGACTAGGACAGGAAGTGCAAGGTGATGGGGACTAGGACAGTGAGGGAGTTCTGGGTAGTGGGACTAGGACTGAGGTTCTGGGTAGTGGGGACTGGGACTGAGGAAGCTCTGGACAGCAGTGGGGACTGGACAGTGAGGGAGGTTCTGAGTAGTGGGACTACAGGACTGAGGAGTTCTGGGTAGTGGGGACTAAGACTGAGGGAGGTTCTGGGTGGTGGGACCGCTGGGGTTCTGGGTAGTGGGGAGACTAGGACTTCAGGGAGGTTCTGGGTGAGTGGGGGGACTAGGGCAGGGTTCCGGGTAGTGGGGACTAGGACTGAGGGGTTCCTGGTTAGTGGGGACTAGGACAGTGGGGGAGGTTCTGGGTGGTGGGGACTAGGACTGGGGGAGGGTTCTGGGTGGTGGGACTAGGACGGGGAGGTTCTGGGTAGTGGGGACTAGGACTGAGGCTCTGGTGGTGGGGACTGGGACAGGGGGGTTCTGGGTAGTGGGGACCCAGGACTGGGGAGGTTCTGGGTGATGGGGACTAGAGTTCAGAATTCTGGGTGAGTGATTCTGGGCAGGGAGGTTCTGGAGTAGTGGGAACTGGGACTGAGGGAGTTCTGGGTGGTGGGGACACTAGGACAGTGAGGGAGGTTCTGGGTGGTGGGGACTAGGACTGAGGTTCTGGGTGGTCAGGGACTGGGGTTTGGGGGAGGTTCTGGGTGATGGGACTGGGACAGGGGTTTCTGCATTGAAGTGGGGATGGGACTGAGGGTTCTGGGTAGTGGGGACTAGGACTAAGGGAGGTTCTGGGTGTGGGGACTAGGACTGTGGGGTTCTGGGTGGTGGGGACTAGGACTGGGGGAGGTTCTGTGGGTGAGTGGGGACTGGGACTGTGAGGGGTTCAGGTGAGTGGGGACTGGGACTGGGGGTTCTGGGTGTGGGTGGGGGACTAGAGACGGGGAGGTTCTGGGTAGTGGGGACTGGACAGGGAGTTCAGTGGGGACCCCTGAGGACAGTGAGGAGGTTCTGGGTGGTGGGGACTAGGACAGTGAGGAGGTTCTGGGTGATGGGGACTAGAACTGAGGGGTTCTGGGTGGGCGGGGACTAGGAGCTGAGGGTTCTGGGTGAAGTGGGGGACTAGGACTGAGGGAGGTTCTGGTGGTGGGGACTAGGACAGGAGTGAGGAGGTTCTGGGTGGTGGGGACTGGGACTGGGGGTTCTGGGTGGTGGGGACTGGGACTGTGAGGGGTTCTGGGTGGTGGGACTAGGACTGTGAAGGTTCTGGGTGGTGGGGACCCCCAGGACAGTGGGGAGGTTCTGGGTAGTGGGGACTAGGACCCAGCGGAGTTCTGGTGAAGTGGGGACTAGGACTGGGGTTCTGGGTAGTGGGGGACTGGGCTGTGGGGGAGGTTCTGGGTGGTGGGGACTAGGACTGTGGGGGAGTTCTGGGTGGTGGGGACCAGGCTGTGGGGGAGGTTCTGGGTAGTGGGGACTAGGACTGTGTGGGGGTTCTGGGTGGTGGGGACTAGGACTGTGGGGGAGGTTCTGGGTGGTGGGGACTAGGACTGTGGGGGTTCTGGGTGTGGTGGGGACTAGGACTGTGGGGTTCTGGGTGTGGGGACTGGGACTGGGGAGGGTTCTGGGTGAGTGGGGGACTAGGACTGTGGGAGGTTCCTGGGCAGTGGGGACTAGGGCTGTGGGGGGATTCTGGGTAGTGGGGACTAGGACTGAGGGAGGTTCTGGGTAGTGGGGACTAGGACTGTGGGGGAGGTTCTGGGTAATGGGGACTAGGACTGAGGGAGGTTCTGGGTAGTGGGGACTAGGACTGTGGGGGAGGTTCTGGGTAGTGGGGACTAGGACTGTGGGGGCATTAAAAGGATGATTAATGGGTATACTATAACTATACTGTATGACTAATAAATATTGTACTCATAATATTCCCGTTAGCCGGAATTGGAATTTCTTGGAAAATTGTTCCCAAAGCCGATATTTTTTTTAATTCCTTTTTTGGGGAACGATTTTCTGAGGGGCACATTTTTCGGAATATTCCGGGATGGGGGGGGTTTTTCCGGGTTTGAGAGATGAAAATCAGGCACATTTTCTGAAAATTCTGAGAACAATTTCCGTAACCAAGAAAATTCCGAGGATGGGGAATATTTTTCCGGGTTCGAGAGATGATGTAATGGGCGATTTCTAGAACTTCCGAGAATATTTTTCTGTTACCCGGGAAATTCCGGGGATGAGGGATTTTTTCAGGCTTTAAGAGAGTCGTCTCGTTACCCGGAAATCTCTCATTCCCGGAAGTGCTCTGCACCAATTGTTCCGGCTAACAGAGATATCACTGTACTGTATAGTTTATGTACTGTATATGCCAATATATAAATATTGACTAAAGTGGAATGTTAAGAAGAAAATATATGAAAGAACTGGAGAAAGAAGTACTGCACTGTAGAAGGACACCCTCACTAAACTTGTTAATATCTCAAAGGGGTAAAACTGGACTCAACATCACTGAACCATAAGTCAGATACCATAAACATTTGTACTTTGTTTAAACAGTCTTGCAAACCTGAAGTCAAATGACTATAATGTTTTGGACTAGATATACAGTACCTGTACTAACAAAACTTTCCAGGCCATACAGATGGACAGAGGCAACACTGAACAATATGCGCCCTTTCACAATGTTATGGTACAATAGTAGGACCTTCAAGATTTGTCAAAAAAAAAAAAAAAACAGGCTATTTATTGCTAACTACAATTATGAGATTGCAAGAGAGAAAAAAATTGTAAGGGGCACCAGAGGATTCAGAAGAATGGAGGTGTATTAGGTGACATTTGGGTAAAGATAAATAATGTTACAATTTCCCTAGTTTTCAAAGATACAAAAATGCCTTTTGATACCTACTCTTTATACAAAGTTTTATGAGATTAACTAGGAAAAAATAAAACCAAATGTTTCATTGGGTGTCTTTAAAATATGGTTATGAGCCATAAGTGTTCAATCCAGAATTAAACCTTGTAGGACCCCTATGAGATCTGGTGCAGATCACATGTGAGATCTGAGGATATCAAGAAAATCAATATCACTGAAAACACCAGCAATTTTCATTATTTCAAATTAAATTTTCAGTGAACTTCAGCCTTAAAGATGACCTCTAGACGATCTTATCTGAGGGTAAGTAGATGTCACTCTCTGTCCTTACTTTAAATGTCACAATTCCTGGTCCTGCATATGAATATTTTTCTTGCAGCCATTACAAAAAATATATAACTTTCTCAAAATATACCTCATAATCATTATGGGCACCGTCAGTTCTCACAAGTCTCTAGACATTGTACCGCAGCACTGTGTTCTGCAGGGTACAGTAATGTATTAAGAAATGGAGAAGACCAGAACTGGAGAGTAAGACAAAAATTCTATCATTCCTGTACTAGTTTGCAAAAGCACAAGTATACAGTACTGAGTGCAGAAACAGCCCTCTTGTACAATGATTCATATTATTATACAGTACACCACATACCTATTAGATAGATGGTAAACCTTTTCTGACCGTCGCTGAAGTTGACTCTTGAGATGAATTAGTTCCCAGAGGAAGTGAGAGTCCATATCCTTCATAGCAGAGGCCCGGACCTGAACCTCCGTCACAGGAATCAACACCTGGTACCTAATAATCTCAACTTCGGATGAACTATTCTTCCCTGGAGCTCCCTAAAGACAGGATGATCCAGAAAACTTAACTTTGAACCAAAACATTATAAATATATACTGTACTGTACATAAATTCACTCTTCATAGATGGTTAATGATCATGTACATGTATACAATATAGTCAACTATTATTCTTCAGTTCTCTCTTAAAGCTAGTAAATGAGGAAGAAAGTCACTTACAACACCACTAACCATCAGCTTTTTCTTTTGTCTTAATCTTTCTTTGCAAAGGAAGACAACAGCTGTTTTAAATACGAAGCACATGGCATGGAGTTCTAATCCTTTCTTTATTTTTCCTAAGAAGTCTGAGATATTGAGCCATTCAACTCCTCCGTAGTAGAGTAGATCCCCCGGCGATAGGTCGACTGGCTGTGGGAGGTGTGGATCACGTGAGATCCTAGGTTCCTATATTGAATACAAGTATTATAAATTTGTTTTGAAAAACTTTATTAATCACCTAATCAAGGCATTCCAGGAATAAAGGGTGTCTTGGAGAGTTCACATCCGACTTCCATTCAATGTTTATAGTATTATTCATGTTACACACGTGTATCAGTACTGTACATATTCCTTGCAAAAGAGGGAGGAAGGAGAACTCACTTGTTTGCAAGACTTTTGATGTTGACGGAATAAATGGTCAAATATTGCGCCATATTCCTCATGGATCCGTTGCATTTCGTTGATATGCTCCGCTACCTTCTCCATTACTTTGAGGGCCTCTGTTATCACAAACAAGATGCAAAATCAGACCCAGTGACTCCTAGTAAATTAATAGAAAGTAGGATACAGGCCTATCCGTTATCTTGTAAGAAAATGTGGAAATCAGGAGTAATAATGGTACAAAAAAGCATCAACCTGAAAAGCATTCTTGAGTCTAAATAACTGCAAATTGGTATCTCTTGTTTAGACAGCACCTTCAAATGTACCTCCAACCTGGCAATACAAACATTTTACAGATGTGCACGTTGTGTGTAAATATCCAAGGAATAGAAATCACACAACCGGATCCACAAATGCAAGTTATTGCCAAGTTAATGGTGTGAGGAAGTTGTTGCCATGTGGGAGATAAACCTATACACATGCTAGTGCTCTTGGTAATACACAAATGTTATGGTTCAGGCAGGGCAGTTTATGTGCTATATATTACCTACAACACTGTTTCTATATAAAAATGATACAAAGGTAATATTTGAAGCTCTTTACAAATGCAATAAAAATAATAAATAGCTCTGGATAATGTGAATCATGCAATGTTGAATTTTCATATTAAAATACAATTTGTATCACTTCAAATAAATACAAAGCATGTACAGTATTTGGCCAATATAATAAAATGTTGTGTTTCAGATCAAGTAAATATCAACCCTGGGGTAGTAGAAGAGTATTGGTACAATGAGAAGATAGGACAGCATATTTTACACTATTATCTTCATCTCTCTCTTCTTCCCCTCTCATCTCCTCAACTTTATACCCTTTTCCTCCTACTTTTAATCCCATCTTTCTCCTACTTTTCTCTCTATCAGTGTCCCATCTCCTCTTCCACTTCCTATCTCCCTACTCTACCTCATTAGTCATCCATTTTGCTCCTCTTATCCCTTCCTTCTCTCCTCCTCCAAATTCTATCAATATTCTGTCTTTTTCTCTTGTTTCACCCTCTTGATTCCCTTTCCTCCTCTCTTCCTACATTTCATCCTCCCATCTCCTATTCCAGGGTGGGAGATGAAGAGAAGAAAGAAAAGAGAGGAGAGAGGATGGAAAGGAGGAACAAAGGGAAGAGAAAATAAAAGTGTAGCAAGAAAGGGGGAAGCAGAAGAGATTTGGAGGGAAATTAAGAAGGATGGAAACAGGAAAAGACGAGAAGGAAGAAAATAAAGAGGACAAAAGGATGAAGGGAGGGACAACGAGTGAGGAGAGAAAGGAGGGAGAACTGAGGGGAGGAGGGTGAAGGAGACTGATGAAAGAGGAAATAAGGGGATGAAAGAAATAAAGGGGAAGAGACAAAAGGAATGAAGAAGGGTAGAGAGAGGATGAAAGGTGAAAAAGAATGGAGGAAAACAGAAGGGAAGAGGGGGATAAGAGAAATGCTGTAAATGAAAGATGGATGGAAAAGGAGAGCTTTTGGAGGGAGGGAAAAAAGGTGTCAAAGGGAAGGAAGATGAGGGAAAAAGCATTAAGATTAACAAAAGAAAGTAACAGTATTGTACTTTACTTCATTCTACCTTTACCTTCTATATTTCCAGGGAGGAAAAATTTGCCTGAGTCCATTACCCCACTGGTGAAGGTACAAATGTGCTTGGATCTGGATGGGCTAATAATGGTGTGTAGATCACCCAAATGATGATGGCAATATTGAAATACATACTGAGAAAATTATCAACTTTGGCTCCGTTGTTTCCATTTTCCATTGTGATTTTATCAAGATATATATATATATATATATATATATATATATATATATATATATATATATATATATATATATATATATATATATATATATATATATATACTGTGTATATATATATATATATATATATATATATATATGTAATTTTAAGGTATTTGCTATATGAAATTCCAGTTCAGATCAAGTTAGTGTGTTCTTAGTCCCAACGTTATCTGGGCCAGCACATTTCTCCTTCCCACTCCTCTTCCTGTTTCTTCGACTCTCCCTCTATGTGTGTGAGTAAAATGAAGCAAAAAGCTCGGGAAACATAGCTGTACCATGCATGAAAATATATATAACAAATAAAAATAAATAAATCCAATTTTTGGGTTGGACAAATAAAAGCTAAAATAAAGTGTTGGGAGTCCCACAGAAAGCAAAACTAGCCCATTAGACTCCATGATTCACTTACAGCTTCGTAAACCAAAGAAAAACTATTTCAACCCACCCATCTCTGCACTTTTCACCTGATAATACCTCTTTTTTTTCTATATTTCCCAGGGCCTCTCTAGGCCAGGGATGGGCGCAAAGAGGCCACCACCATCACCACCCAGCAGGGCAGGTGGGCATGGCGTGTGTACATACCCACGAGATGTCTGTGCTCATCTGAGCCAGGCGTGGTGAGGGCCTTGAGCTGCTGGAGGAGGAGCGGATACTTGAGGATACGCTGGATGGGCTTGATCAAGTAGGACTCGAGGGTTGCAGAGTGCTGTTGACGGGGATTACGTGACGAGAGGAACTCCTTCAGCTCCTGGTTACCCTCACCTATAGGGACAAAACAGTCCACTGTTAATTCCAGCATCCTAAATGTTATCTATTACTACAGCATCATTAACATATAAACAATTCTTGATGTTCCTACATCCACTGTGAAGGTACATAACCTCTGAAATTAACTACCAGCACCATCATTAATGTATCAGTATTACTAAACAAATACTGTACATTACACTGAAAAATCATAAAAAAAAAATCATAGTTACCACCAAAAAAAATGTAAGGTTTAAACGTTTGCTTTTCAACGGGACAATTTTCACATTTTTCAACATTAGTGTAATTTTTAACACTTAATTCACTGTACATCATTAAAGTGTTTTGCAAACATTACCACAAAATGTGACGAGGGAGAATAACGGATAAAGATATTACGGTACTTTTCATCATAATCATATATATATATATGTATATTACACTATTCTTTTAAAGAATTCATTATAAATGCACTTACCAGGCACCTAGTCAGAGAGCTACCACTTACACATTAGGTCCTGTCGTGCCAGAATAATCTATTGCACAGTACAATCTGTATCAAACTATAAAAATAAAAAGATCTTTACTTTCGGTTTCATTGTCTAAATAAAAGACTATATCTTATTTCCTTGTTTAATAAATGACTAGTTCCAGTTTCCTCACCAAAATAAACATCAGCCATGTCAATATTATTATCATCCAATCTGTTTTCTGGCTAAATAAACTGTTTCAATATCAGTTTCAATAGCCTCAATTTAACACACACACACACATTCCCTCACTAGATTAACATCCTAAAATAAAAAATAAATAAACCTCAATTATTTCCGTCCGATGTGGTATCCATCTCATGACTTTTACCATTATATGTCACTGTCTCCCACCGAGTCTCTAAGCGGCTGTAGAGGCAATAAAAACTATTCTATTTATTCTCGTATTCTTTCATAGAGGGGGGTGACGAATGTACGTAATTGGGGGAGGAGTGAGGGGAGCAACATGTGTAGGAGTCGTGCTTTAGGCAAGAACGGGAGAGAGAGATAATAACTGGATGAAAGGAGAGGGGAATGTAGGATAATTAATTGGTGAATTAGCTTGTATGAGTAGAGTGAGACGTGCAAGAAGAGCCACTACACTACATGAGGCCTTTACAGTCAGGTTCACTTGTTTATAATCACTCAATGGGTGTTTTCACTTACTTCAGTTAATTCAAATTATTCTCTTTCATCAAATTTTACCCAATAACGGAAGGAGAATGAACTCTTCTTAACGGTTCTTCGTTTATTTAAAAAATTCTTAAAAATTACTATTACACTTCAAACAACCTAACTTGTAGGTCATCATATGGCACAATACATTATCGGGCAACGGATAATACCTACAGTGCACTTACTAATTATTCTTAATCCACTAACGTCGGGCGCACTTGTTGCTCAGGCTCACCTAATGAGATAAAAAAGACCATGACGTCGTGTCTCAGGCCCCCTGTTATTGTTCACGCTCGTGGGCTTCAATGGCACTTGTAGCTTGGGTGGAGATGGTTGTCTTGGGAAGCAGGGAATCGTTGTCTATACTCTACAACTTAAATTTACACAAGTCTTTAAAAATCGGTCATTATTTACTCTAAAAAAAAACATGGCATTATTACATTGTCTTTTCTCACAATGTTCTCGCCTGAACCTACGACAAGTAAGATGAATGACAAAGACTAATGAATAGATAAATGAATGAATGAAATTAATAAAGTCAATGAAGATGAATAATGAATAAAATAAAACTATAACTAATATAAAAGTTATAAAGATAGATTGTTGGTATAAGCAACTTCTATCAGCGTATAGAAAGAGTCAACACGGGCCCCGGACAAAACCCTCAGGACAAAAGCTTCCCATTTTCTAAATTAATGTTTGTAAAGATCAGTAGACTCGTAAACCATATAACAATATGGTGACACACAGTTTCAAATGCATCATTTGGGTCTCAGGTCATGTAAGGTCAGATTAAGGTCACATGACCAACACGCATGTAACCTACTGGCCTGACCCCACCTAAAGTTTACCCTCCCTGGCACTACCTTGGGTGGAGATTCTGACCTGATTGACCTGTGATAATATGTTGGTCAGTAATTTCGATGCCGACACGACAATCCACGTCAGTTGACATGTCAGGCAAACAAAATTGGGCCGCCTTAGATCCGTCACTATTGTGATATACACTATTTGTTTAATATGATCTAAATACAGTTATAAAAGGTGAAGCACAGCGTTTAAAGAATCTGTGTCTAGACTTTATGAATGAGAGGAAGGCCTCGGAGAAGCTTCTGAAGGTTGCAGGTCACAGCATCAGGGTGACGTTAAATGAACCAGAACACTTAATGTACTCTAGTCTAGAATACTGTGTTTTATTTGTTTAGTGATTTTGGCGGAGATACGGTATAACGAACCTTTTATAATATCATAATATCATTTGTATGGTTATGTTAATATGTGTTCCTGTATAATACTTAAAGGTATAATGTTATTGTTTAAGTACTACTGTATAATACTTATAATACCTTTATTAAAGTCTTATGACATAAAAAATTTAATATTTTACATGTCCTACAGCGACATTGTCCCACACCCATTCAAAACTTACCCAACAACAATTAGTTTAAAATAAAGTCGGATTATCTCAAAGTCTAAGACTTAGAATAACATAAGGTAATACAGTGCAATATATATATATATATATATATATATATATATATATATATATATATATATATATATATATATATATATATATATATATATATATATATATATATATATATATATATATATATAGGGTGGTCCAAAATATCACATATTTGTATACGTTTTCTCCACAAGGTTTATTTTTGTCCATTAGGTACAAAATGCATCCCAGAAAAAAATTGGATCATTTAAAGCATATTTAGAGGTCAATCCAATGTCCTCTTTTTTTCCATTTAGTACGTAATAAGGATTTTTCGGGGCTAGATAAACACATTATAAACACATTGTCTTTATTCAGCAAAATATACTATTTAGATTGATAATGAAATAATTGTAGAACTGATGAGATATAAATGAAATAAGTAACTTCATCTGATTAATGGTAACCCTTGTCTGTGTTTCCTGTTTCAACCTGTCATTGTCAGTCCCTATGACTCAATACTTGACTCTTTGCCCTTTCCAAATAGGCAACTAGGCTATATACATTGAAATATACCCAATATAATGTGTTGTGTATATTAAGACTGTATCATGCGGACAAGAAAATTCAGTCCTACACTACAAGTATAATATGCAAAATGGATTGACCTCTAAATGATAATGAATATGGATAAAATTTTACAGACCTTATCTATGAACCAAATGGACAATTTTAAGGCTTGTGGAGGCAATATATTACTACTTATATTTTTTACCATATAGTTTTGGACCACCCTAATATATATATATATAAATATATATATATATATATATATATATATATATATATATATATATATATATATATATATATATATATATATATATATATATATATATATATATAAGTAATGGTGTGAAGTTTCGTGTCGCCTTAATAGAGACCCTGGCTTCGGCTTCATGACTTTTTAAATGCCTGGCTTCGGTTTCGGCTTTGTGACTTTCTAATGGGTTCGGCCCCGTGTCTGCAGGACTCTCATGCATCATGGTGTGTGGAATCATCCATCCCACATCCCTTTCCCCTCTACCAGGTGTCACATCAACACGGGCTCAATGACATTACATAATGCAAAATACGTGACCTTGACGTTGCAAAATACCTGAGTAACGCCACTGCAACATAATGCATAGGAGTGAATGACTTTACCCAAACACGGCACCACTTTAACACGAGCCGACATTAACAGTGATTACCGTCCTGTGTTACTAATGTGTATGAAAGACGTAGACAATTATTCTGGGTAAAGTTCCAACACCCTTTAAAGGTTATTTTTTTGGTGCTGCATATTATGATTGTTAAACGAAGAAATGTAATAATAATTACAATGTATTGTATAATATAAATAAAAAACTGATACAACAACCAATAACTGTAATTAATAATAAGAACAGAAAGAAATTAAAAATATAGAATAAAAAGGTTATACTGTGTTATAATCTACACCACGAAGATGCTGGAAAACAGGCTTTATAAAGTGAGACAGATTGTATAAGTATGGAAACAAACAAGAAGGCAGAGCATTCCACAGCTTGGCTGTGTGAGGAAAGAGGGACATTATAAATATACACGCATCACAACCTCAAAAAATTCGTCCCCATCTTGAAAAAAAAAATTATATATATATATATATATATATATATATATATATATATATATATATATATATATATATATATATATATATATATATATATATATATATAAATAATCACTGTAGGTGCGCGTGATCTAGGTAATGAATTTGTCCCGTTAGTTCGGTCCCTCAAGCTTCTAAATATTAATGTTGTTTTCAAGTATGACTCAACCATTACCAATATGTTAATAAGAAATAGCCCAAGTTTGAATGTAAATGGAAGTGTTTATTGTATTCCATGTAGCAAATGTAATTGTAATTATGTAGGACAGACAGGAAAAACACTGCAGCTCAGAATCAAACAACATAAGTATAATATCAGAACAGCATCTGAAAGCAGTGCCTTGTTCGTTCATGTTAGGAATAATAATCACCCCATTGCTTGGGAAAAAAGCTTAGAAGTATTCAAATCATCTTGTGTCACAGAAAGACTTCTGGTTGAAGCTAGTTTGATTAAGGTATTAAAATCAATAAACCTTAGTGATGGTCAGTTCAAAACTGATAATATGTTACATAAATTTATTTGTCAGTGGCCCAAGGTTAAAAATGCTTTGAAAACCTTTGATCTAGATGTATGATAGTTATTTTGTGGGTCCCTTTTTTCTGACCTGACCTGTCTAGTCACGTCATCCCCTTCTCTTAAGCTCCTCTACGTGTGTGCTGGTGT